TAAGACCTGGCACGAGGGTATGAAAACCCTAACCAGGAGACTGGGTCACATAGGTCCTGTTAGGCTCCCTGGCTGGGGACCTCAGGATGATCGTAATCGATGGTTAGAGACACTGAGTGATATGGCTGGGTGTCGCAACCAGTGGCATTCGTGCATCTTCTCAATCTCTTTGCAACCTTAGACCAGTGAACTTCTCCATTTTCCTTTCGACTCCACTTTCAAGTTTCCTGTCTTCTCCTATTCTTCATCCAAATGGGCAAGCAAAAGACAGCAACCAAAACCGGCGCACGAATATGCGTGGTTAATGGTTGTTCAAACTGAAACCGAAACATACTGCATCAACCCAACCACCCTTGTCGTTCTCTGCTGACTTTATCTAATAATGATCACCTCAGGGGACATCTACTAAAGATGAAGACCTAGAACAGTCACCTTGATTGCCGACATCACTCGTTTGCAGTCAGAGTGTGCAGCGTATGGAATTTTCTTCCATCTGATGTAGTGTGTGCTCCTACAATTGAACTATTTAAATCTTATCTTGATGAAGCATTGGAACACTTAACATTCCAACATCCGTGAGTGATCACACACATTATTATCATTATTATTTTCTCTTTGTGAAGTTGTTCAAAAGATTCTGTAAAAATCCTATGGGGCATGATAAGCTTTAGCTTTGTTAAATCGCCCATAATAAAACTTTGACTTTGAAATCTTTCATTAAACACATTCAGAATTTTTAAAACACGGAGTAAATACACCGACCGTCTTGGTCGTTACACGAGCCTGATAGGAAGGCATACAAGATGTAACGCGCCTAAAGGTGGCAGAAACAGATTAGTATAGAAAGGTAGTCTAACTTAAACTGTTGACGATCAGCCAGAATAGCCTGAGATAAAATATATCGAATTCATAACGATTCGGTGGACTTCCTGATGAGCAATCAATACCAAGGTGAAAGAACTAAAAAACAAACTCAAAATGTTTTGGCAGCTGTACGTAACGAATCTGGGTTGCGTAAAATAAAGACTCAAATGCGAATGAGTTTCAGTTTCTACTACCAGACACTAAAACCGCAGAAGAGTAAGCGATTTTTGCACGTTTTTCCGGAATCAAGGTGACTTATTGTCAAACCACAAACCCATAAGTTGTGGAAAACTTGGGCAGTATTCTGCTCACCAGCAAATTATAGATATTGTACTGAGTTGTTTAGAGCATAGTTTGCTAATAGACGCGTGTGAGTCTGTGTTCGATCAAATTGTGACCGGATTGGCCGTAATGATGGGATCATAATCATCATCACCGTACTTTGCCAGTGGAGATATAGCTCGGAAAATGCACTCCTGACGGATTTGATATATATTAATAACTGTTTCTAGGAGTGCGAACTATTGAAACGCAGCCACACAGAGTATATAGCACCAACGGGAATTGTAATCCGTTGAAGGATTTATATTAAAATCCGATTCCCAACGTCTCTCACAAAGGCCCGAAGATGATTTAATCTTTTGTTCTTCCTCGTGGCTAAAATAAAATAACAAACTTACGAATCAATGGTGAGATAGGAAGTGACAATGTAACCTCCTTTTACCCGATTCCGTTTCAGACCAGACGCCGGATCCGGGTCGGGCAAATCGTGTTCAAGTTGCTGTCGTGGGTGTTCTAAGCGCACCCAGAGGGCAGTGAGAGTGAAGACGAAGGAAAGGGAACAGCAACAACAATAGCAAAAAATAAGTACGAACAGTAAAACAGGAATTGGAATAAAAATCGAGAATCAATGTGCTACACACAGACTGTCTTTCTCAATTATTTCCGATACCGTTATCCAAAAATCAATATAAGTGGATCGCTCACGGTGCACAAACATCCAATTTCACTTTAACTACACCCGTCACTGGAAGGTTTTGTTTGATTGAAGGGAACGGCGATAAATATTGCGTCTTACGGCAATATTCACTCCATCTGATCTGTGGCCTATGACCGGTTGAACTTAGCTCACTGTGTAATTGATTGGTACAATCTTTTTCTTGCATTGATCAATGTTATTTTGAGTCATATGTAAACATCAGAGTAAAACTTGTAAATGGACTTGTGACTTGTGTTCAACGCCATTAAGATCCCGTGCTGCCGAAACCGTGTCTTCTCTCTCGTGTGTTGGGACGCCTGAGAGGTTGGTAGTCGACCGTACGTCCTGTGTTTCGCCTAGGTAGCTTCTGCTCCCGGAACTATCATTCATCCACGGACTTAGTGCTAGTTTGCTGTTCTCGTGTGCTACGAGTGTTACTGTGCTATCTTGTGTTCTTTGCACTTGTGGTGTTCACCTGTGATATAGTGCTGTGCGACATAATAGCAGGCAACGGATATCAGTGGAGTAAAACAACAAATTGGCAACGAAACAGATGAGATTGATGCGTGTGTGGGAGCGAGGGGGATAACAAAAATCAGTGAATAGAATGGAGTATAGCCACTGATCAACAAACGAGAAATAGTGGACAATATATTCAGGGTTATCATGATCGTAGTGAGGTAATGAAGTCTCTCATCCCTGATTTCAGTGAACTGGGAAACTCCATGCATTGTTTTCGCAACCGATACCGAAAGTGTGACGAACATCCTTTTGAATCAGTTCCTGCAGCGTAGTAAAAAAATCGAGAAGTTTGGGATGGAGGCTAAGATGTTACATCGGTAAAGAAATGTTTAAGCTGAACTAGGAGCGCGCAGAGCAGAGTTGCAGGTGGGAAAAAGCTTGATAAAAACACTCCAGATGCGGATAACTTATGCGAAGCAGCATTGCGTAAAGGAAATCGAGACTGTCAGTGATTATTTTTCCGGCTAGGTTGGCATCTGGGGTGTTTTTACGTGATGGTATGCGCGTGATGCAAAACTTGGTCCGACAGACCATAGACAGGCAGATCGAACACCATAGACGCTCCAACATGACCGCCTGTGTGTGTGTGTGTATGTGTGTACGTGGAAGCATGTGTACGCATTCGTGCATGTTGCATGGATGCCAGTGGATCGATCAACACAATAAACAGACAGAGAGCCTAGTTGATAGACTGACGGACGAGATTGCGCACGCGTCAGTGCACATGCGACGAGCACAGTCGATGGACTATACATACACACACACACACACAGTCACACGAACCCTCACGGGTCTACACATACAGACACACACACACACAACATATCGACAGCTAGGCGATAGCCAAACACGCGCTCTATGTTGCGCTATGCAAAGTTAAGAGAACAGGATAGCGGTCGGAGAGTTCCACAGAACAACTGCGTTAGAAAATAGACTGATTTAATCAATGCTTAAATGTATGTGCGACTATATGTCTAAGTGGTACTAAAGTCATTCTTACCATTCAGCTGACCACAAGCTGAACGCCGAAACAACTGCTTCACATCGCCTGCCAACAGACGACGAAGGGCGTACGGGCCTCCAGCAGAAGTGGATAGAAAGGCAGCCAAACTTTGACCTAAGAGGCTTCGAAGTTTTCGACACTGGCGCTGTACATTGGTAATCACTGGGTATTCGGCAGCCTTCCTGGAAAACGCTGTTCGAGATGTTTGATTTACGGCATTTGATGCATCACCACTGTCCCCAGCGGTATGAAGTTCCCGAATATGGGCGCAATCTAAGGAAAGGTTAGGGAGGAATACGTGTTGATTCATAAATAAATAAAGTATTCAAGTCAAGTCAAGAAAAGCTTTATGCACCCAAAAGGTGAATTTTCAGCAGTATTGAGATTACGATTAGGATACCGTTCAGTGCCAGTACTCAAAAGGAGTCTGAGGGAAGTTATGGTGGTCCTCTTTAATTTTTGTACTATGCACGCAGGACCGAAGTGACCAAATCCAGGATACTGAGGCTCAATTTCATATTTCTCAGGCAGATGGTTCAACACAGAAGCGCACTGATTGACGTGGTGAAAACAGTGTGAAATCCGAATTGCTCCTGAATGAACTTTCATTCTTTATAGCCTTTTTGCTGACACAGATTTGTCTGGATGATCTAATTTAAGGACTATATGAACCCAGACAAATCGTTTATTCTCTGACTTGCGTGCTTTTATCGGGTTCGTGCACGGTCGATCACGAGTCATTCGTGTTTTACTGCAACCTCTCGGCATTCCCCTAAATGTAATTCTTAAATTTGTGACGGCCTGCATTTTTCCAAACTGGTTGTATTGCTCCCCAGTACATTTTCGTTGTCTAACGGAGACAAACTTTATTTGAGGCAGTGAGTCCCCTTTATCTATTTCGTCAATATCGAAAGAAGACAAATGCCACGAGATGTGAACATTTCTATTAATCTTCTCAATCGATGACTTAAAACAAACAGGAACATATATAGCACATGGGGTTGATCAATTATGGTGAACTAACGTGTACAAGCATATAAAGATTACTCGGAGGTCAACTCCATGGTAAGTGGATTGATTATGCTATATGTGTGCCTGGTTGTTTTAAGTCAGTAATTGAGAAGATTAAATGAAATGTTCATATCTCGCGACATTTGTATTCTCTCTGTATTGATGAAATACTTTGTTCTTTTTACTAGATCTCCTAAAGTTCTTCCCGCTGCAGTGGCATTTCAAAGACCGTTTTATTTCATCTCAGTGTGTGCAAGCATTTTGATTCATGCGATAGATTTATCAGCCAGGTGTACAATCAAACGAAGAACACTGTCTGCATTTTCATCTCAATAAATCTCTCATCCGAGTACACGTTCCAAATTTCGGATTCTTTGTGCACGTACCACCACATACCGAAACAACATCCCTTATTTATCTTAGTAAATCGAGCTACTAACAGTACTGACTTTAAAAATCACCTGTCACATTAGCTTCTTATCACATGCATTTGCTTTTCATTTGATGTTTGATGTTTTTTCTCATCGTAACTGGTTGAAGTTGCTGAAAATCCACTCTGCTGGGTGCTTAAGGTTAAATGGACTTGACCTGACAGGTACGTAGAAAGAATTACGTTCTCAACTTCTTTTTCATCTTTCTAAGTGACGCGAAGTAATCTAGGTTCCCCGGCGTGAGATGAAGACAGTTGACGATCAAACTTAGTATGAGTAAGACAACGAAAGGTCCCGCAGACGATTGCTAGTCTGGTGGCATTTCGAGTTGTTCCACAGCATCTATTAGACAATGAGAGATTCCGGTCGGAACTTCGTGTCCTTCGAAAGACCGGTTGACGCAGATGTCCATTTTATTAGCAATTGCGAAGATGTATCTGTGATATATATATATATATATTGTGAAGGAACTTCAGAGTATTCTTCTTTGTTCCAGAACTGATATTCTCGAACCGTGCGCCATTCTTCTGTTTCGAAAAATGGCGGATCCATGAACCAACCACGATGCATGGTCCTGGTTGACGTCGATCATAAGCCGTGCTCGACGTGAATATTGGTCATTGTATAAGTGAACATGGCATAACACACCTGAGGCGTGCCCGCATTGCATGGCGAGATACGGAGTGCACTTTTGTGACGGCACTCGGAGTGGAGTTAATAGCATTTCACACTCTCAGGGTCACAGTTTCTAACATGAATCAGTCAATAAAAGTCAAAATCCGCTTAGTCACTCTATACTGTGATGAATTTCATCATCATTATATCAAATTTGATCAATCTGGATGTTTTGATTAACGAGAGATAGCGGAAAAACAGAGTGGGATTAATAGTTGATTTTACTAATAAGAGGATACCAGCACACATGAAGAAGGTATGTCTGGTGTTTGTCAGCTGGAGCTAGTCGCGATGTAGGCCATTTGTGTTCTGGTCCGTCGAGGTTTAGATAAATGCCGTGACTATGCGACTACTAACTTCCTGAGCAGGAGTCACTCCGGTTATAGACTTTTGCACACCGTTGCATTCGGAACGTTGCTCGGTTGGGATGAGATAATCGGATCAGCCAAACCGAGATTAAATAAGAGTGAGAGAGATTAAGTAATTCAGGCCGCAAAAT